TATTTACTCAATATAAAAAAGTGATTGTTAAATCAAATTAATGGTTCTTGTACCAAATAAATATATTTATATATTTAGTAAATGTTTAGTTGGTACTATTCAAATAAATTTACTAAAATTTAGAATATTTTTTTCATTGTAGAGTTCAAATAATTAAATTTAGTGTAAGACTTATCGTGTAAGATTTATCGTGTCTCATTTTGCTATTTATATCTTACGAGAACTTTAGGATCTTTTTACGAATGGTTTTCTTTACGATACTTTCGAGGTAAGAAGTGATGATCGAAGATGATATTACCTGTTCTTGCAGTGAATATTTACAAGTTTACTTGTACATGCATTCTCGACTATTGTCCGTTTGCACAATACACGACTCGTATTGTCGAAGATATTCTGCTAGGTAATTATGACAAATCTTGATTTACAAATGGTACGCTTACTAACAAGGTGAAAATAATTAAAAATCCATTTCATGGGAACTCACATAAAACAGTAGCTTTTTTTCTGCCAGAGTTACTTCTTTAATTGTCCATAGATATTTCTACGGATGACAATTATATATGTATATAATTAAGAAGTTTCCGAGGAGATTAGCGAGAGTATCGGTCTAGCAACTTACGGCTTTATGATGTAAATTCAGCAAAAAGTGACGGAAGACGTCGGAGAAAACGGGACAAATTCTGGTCGGCTGAGTTACTAAATATCTTGTCTCGTGAACTCGTGTTTGTGGCAATCACAGTTTTCGTCATTGACAGACAGTAACTGCATAGTTCGCGCTGTGCAAAAAAATCTAGACACTGTCTGTGTCTTCTGTTTTCATGTCAAGGTAATTAGACGTTTCATCACATCGTCGTCCTACGAGCGCGCGACATCATCTTGAAATTGAATAATCGCTGCAGTCGCCCATCTCTCCGCGAAGTAGTACGTATCTTTCTCCGGTCGATTCGGCAAGGGTCCTGTAAAAGGATTTTATTGTGTTGGCGTAAAACTCATTGTTTATGTGCTCGCTTTTGGTAGGAAGGATATATTAGATTCGCGATATTCATTCGTTGTCGCTTATTTGCAAGAATCTTTTCGCATATATTAGTGCTTCTTTCTTACATTATGCGGAGCCTCATAACGACGGTCCACTTGCTTGGCGTGATTTATGCGATTATATAGGCATTTCCCCAAGCGAAATGCCTTCAGTCGTCGACACCGAACGTATATTACGGATCTAGCCGATTCAAACCGGCTTTCACCAGCGACGAATCGCCTTAATTCCACCGGTTTCTGGTGCTGGGTCAGCCAATTCATTTTCATGATCGGGATTTGCTGAGGAGATTTAATGAGCCGATAAATTGTTGACCCTTCTTTACATCTTCTAATCTTACACACAGCAAAGGCCAAAGACCTAAAATTTTGTGTTTCTAAAAAATATTGCGAAAAAAAGAAACAGGACGTGCGGAGCCACATTAATATATTCTTAGACGAAAAAAATCTCTTCTAATAAATTTCTGTATGGAATAATTTGTGTAGAATTATGATGTGTTATAGCTAAAGCCGATTCGTAGAACTAAGAGAAATCGGATAAAGCGCATAGAGAAATATTTTTTATTTCGTATATTTCATATAAGGTTGATATAAATAAAGTTGATTTAAGATACACGTTATTTTGAAATATTAATATTTTTTAATTATTAAATATATATTTACATTTAATGAAAAATGTTATTTTATTTTTTATTTATGAAATAGCAATTTTTAACAATTGCATTAAATGCTTCCCAGAAAAGGTATAATTTAGAACATTATTTCTCATTTAGTCTATTTTTACTTACTTTGACAATTATTTCGTCTTCGTAATAGTTATTATATAGTCTCTACTTTGTCATTGTACAAAAATATCCATGCGTGCGTCGACCGATGCTTCGCAACAAGAGCGTAGAAAAACGTCACGTTGATTATTTGGACGTGCGGTTGTAACGAAGCGTGTCTATCTCTACGCCGCATAATTTTCACTGCTAGTGACGCAACAGAATAGGCACGCGATTCGCCACGTTTGCGGTTTAATAAATCCACCCGCGTGCACGACGCAATTTTAATAAAATTATTTGGCACACGAATGAAAACATCTCGATGTCGATACAGCACGAGAGGAATAAGTTATAATCGTTTTGCAAAAACACTTTGATCATTTACCTTCTAAGAAACATAACAGCAATAATTGCGGAATATGTGTTTTTATCATTACGATTGTAATAACCTTGTGGACATTTCAATTATTTACACAACGTGTAATTTTTTCTTCTTAGCAAATTGATTAACATCAGCTTGGCCTTAGACAGGCTCAACATGCTTTTTATTCGTGAAAAAGTCGATGGTAAAATTATCACGGACGCGAGTAGCAATCGCTTTTTATCGCACGGGAGATATGGCAATTGTTCAGAGAATCACACTCAATAAAGAACCGTCGAGCACGTACACGTGAAGTTAAACCGACTGTATTTCTACATTCGTCTTGATACATTTCTTCCGACATAGGTTAAAATATTTTTTGTTTCGTTATAATATTTATTATTTTCGAATTTAAACACGCGAGAAGTTATAAAATTGGAATATGAAGTGTATTTTTTTATACAAAACTATATCATTTTTTATGTCAATTTGAAGATTAAATAATTATAACTTAATTATAATTATAATAATTCTTGCATGTAATTATAGTATGTTTAACGTAACAAGGTAGGAAAACTACAGTGATGTTGAAACAATATTATATTTTTAGGCAAAAATACAATGAAAAATAATGAATTATTACAAATCTTACTCCTGTAAGATTTAAGAAATAAATCCCGCCCTCTAAAAATTAGTTATAATAATTATATAAATATTAAGTCGCAAAAGCAGTACATGCTTGTATAATATATTCTCCCTGTTTGTCATTTTTTTATTTGAATGATATAATCATAGATTCTTATAAGATTTTGTTCTTATAGAGGAAATGTCAATTTATTTTGCAGATCACGTGCATCACAAAATTATATGCATACTTATTCCTTGTATTCGCATTAAATGTACTTGCAAAATCAATCTTTTCATAGTGATTTAATATTATTGCTTCTATTTGCGGTTATTTTAGGCTGGTTTATTTTCTCAAAGCATAAAAATTGACATGAAGTTTATATTAAATGAATTGCAATACAAAAGATGCAAGTACGACAAAGGGGATTGTCTCGATATTAGTTAAATTCTGCAGATCCCTCTTCCTCAAGAACAGCGCAATGCATGCGTCATTATATGCTTTTTCCTGATCGTGGTGAAAGATTGTTCGTTACTCGTAATCAGCATCTGGCGCTTGATTAATATTTTTGTATTATACACGTGGATATTATACATAACGAAGCGCCTCGCCACAGACCCGTTTTAAAGATTATGCAGCCTTGCATTTGCCGTTCTCTCTCGAAAGGTTGCTGTTTGTCACGCTGTGTTCACCACGTTTACGGATTCTTGTTTGTGCAGCAGTGGCTTCGAGAAAGTCATAAATATGCAAAAATTAGTTCTAATAACATATTACAATATTGTCTTAATATTGTAAACTATATATTCTAGGCACGCTAAAAGTATTCATTAATGCAAAAGCCGTGAGGTGATAATCAAGTTAGTATGTTGATCGATTCGACAAGAGATTGTTTTCACATCTTTGTTCTCTTTTTCTTCATATTATCACTGAAAAAAAGAGTTTGATAATAATTACCAAATGATGAATGGAATAATTCCAGTCAAATATTCCTTTAATATAACAAAAAATACATTTTACTTTTTTAAATATTTAGTAATTATTACTAAATGATTGGTTATATTATTATATATTTGTGATAATACTTATTAAATATTTAAGAAAGGAAAAATATTTTTAGTTATATTAATCAAACATTTAATTGAAATTATTTTACTCAACATTTGATAGCTATTACGAAATCCTTTTTATACATATATACTTAATTGAGAAATCTACAATGATGGTGCTAAAGTAATTTGGCAAATTTATTTTTAATCTTGTTCTTTTCAAAAAAAAAACATTGCCTTCTTTTATAAATTGACCTATGTTACTAATTTTAATTGGCTATTATTTAATCGCAATAAAATATTGTAAAATATAAGAACATTATTGGTTGGTAAGTAAAATATATTATAACTAGAAATTGGTTTGGTAATGGTATTTAAGTATAGATTGCATGGCTGCATAAATCATAAATAGACATACGCGATGCGCAAAACCGAGACGGCAATCTGATAAAGAACCAGCACAGGAAGCAATGTACGCGATCATAATATCGTTGTGTAGGAAACAATGTGTGTAAGTGCAGTGCATAAAATCATATTGATGTGTACGTGCATCTGTATGTATATGAATGATTTTGTGTAATTGTGTGCGTCTTATTCGCGTCAAGAACGATGACGAAACTCTCATTTATCTCGGACGCGCGTTAATCACAAGTACTCACGCAAGAACAAGTACTCACGTTTTATTGAGTATCTTTAGCATTGGCTGAAATAGTATCTTGTAATTTATAATTTTAAAAGTTCACTTTTGAATGATTTTTATATATTATACATAATTTTTTATGTTAAATGTTATACATTACATATAAGAATAATTTTTTAATTAATGAAAAGCGATAGACACATATTTTTAATATATATATTAATGATCATGTGATGTAAGCGTCATCAATTATTATGCAAATATCATAGATTAATCTACTGTCAATCTTCGCTGACAAAAGATTAGAGATACAACTTATTCTTTAACTGTGATTGCATTCCATCAAAATGTCATTTATATACAGAAGATTTTTATTCACGTTAAATATCAATGCGTTTTACAATGAATGCTAGATAGTATAATACCATTGCTTAAACTTTGTTTTTGAAAGAAGAAATCAATTCTGATTAGTATTTTGTTTAAAATCCTTTAAAATCCAAAACGTAAAGAACAATCATAATTGTATGTTTAGGTAGTCGACACGTAAAATGGTGGCGTCGCAAAATGACGGCGGCAGAAGTATGGGCGGCGGCGGTGGTGATGGTGGCGGCGGCGGAGGTGATGAAACAGTTTACACGGTGACCGTGAGCGGAGTCGGTTACAGGAACGAGGGCTACAAGGACGACGGCACCGATGGCATACCGCCGGAGCCGCAGAAGCCGCCGCAGTTTCCGGCAGCGGACGACGACACACAATCGCGGAAATTCAAACTGTCGCGCAGCGAAAAATGGCGTATTCTAAAGAACATCGGTACCGTCTCCATCGCTTTTATGGTGCAATTCACTGCGTTCCAGGGCACAGCGAATTTACAGTCGTCAATCAATGCCAGTGATGGCCTCGGTACCGTCTCGCTCTCAGCCATCTACGCCGCCCTAGTGCTCTCGTGCATTTTCGTGCCCACTTTCCTCATCAAGAGACTCACCGTCAAGTGGACCCTCTGTCTATCTATGATGTGCTACGCGCCGTACATTGGCTCGCAGTTCTATCCCAAATTCTACACCCTGGTGCCCGCCGGCGTTCTCCTGGGTCTTGGCGCCGCGCCCATGTGGGCTGCTAAGGCTACGTATCTGACGCAAGTCGGCGGTGTCTATGCCAAGATCACCGACCAAGCAGTCGACGCCATCGTTGTACGGTTCTTCGGCTTCTTTTTCTTAGCGTGGCAGACGGCCGAGCTCTGGGGCAACCTTATCTCTTCGCTTGGTAAGTCGACAGCTTCAAGTTATCAGAGCTTGGAGTTAATATTTTAACACTTTGAAATTCTGTATTTGAATTTACAAGACTACGTTCATATTCCGGAATCATAATTCGTGTATATTTAAATTTGGAATACTTAATTGAAGAGTGATAATGAGAAAAGCTTCTGACTAACAGCATAAAGATAAGGATACTCTGATAAAATCGGTGCAAACTGCATTGATTTTATAATCATCATGTATTTATACATGAGTCATCATGTATTTATATACGTATGATTAATAGTTATTATCAGGGCTAATTACATTGATGCTCCGCGAAGAATTGATTTCTGAGAATAAAAATCTCCAATCCTTATTGTTAAAGTTAATAGTGATTAACGAGTTAATCGAGATTTTTACGCAGTTACGCTAAACGTTCAACCATCATGCGTACTTTAGCAAAAGCAATTCTTTTTGTCATTCACGAACGCAATAAAAACATTCTCAATAATAATACGCATCCCAATAATACACAACACTCAATACTATCGCTGTCTGTTTTACACGCTTGATTACCAGCAACTCACAATGGTATATCCATTAACGCCATGTAAATATTCAACAGAATGTGTGCACAATTGTGTGTTAGCTTATCAGTTTAGACTACGTTGTTTATATTAACTACATTTCTCTCTGTAGACCAGTGATGTTCAGTCTTTTTTAAGAGTCGATTTTAAAGAGCCATATAATGTTTATTTCGTTTGCATAAAATAAAAAATATAATTTTATATTTTGGACTATGAACTAGAGCAGACTGCAAAATATTCACGCAGACCGCAAATTGAAGATCACTGCTATAAACAGTTCTTGAATTAACAATACAAGCAAATCTTTTTTCCCACGTTATTCTACGTAATTAAATCTTATTAAGCTACAAAACTTCTTAAATCTGATTTTTAGTTGAGTTAAATAAATTTCAAAGTGTATAATATTTACTTATAATTAAAATAAAATGTTTTGATTTCTCTAAATCAGATTTTGCAGTAGGTGTGCGCAGTACGCGCGCAGTAGAAATGGACGTTGCAGTCAGACAAACATTACAGTCAGACAGTCTGACTCAACGTTCAGTTCTTCCCCTGACACGCGTATATCCTCGCATCTTTGTACACGGCTTCCGTCGTATACGTGAGGGACAACGTAGTCAGTGAGGGACTTGTCGAACGAGAGAAGCCGTGAGAGCAACAGAGAGAGAATCACACGCTCGCTATGAGAAGAAACAAGATTTATCCGGTATAAACTCGTGGTAGTCGGTTTCCGTACTACCTCGTACGCCTTCCCCGATACCGCATATGTTTGCATACACATACACGAACGTGCAAAGTATCATTGTATATCAGTCTTACATGTGAAGAAATGTTTCTTCGATTTCTTCATTCGTCAAGTGCCACTCCTACGACTGATTTCGACCTGACGCCATTTTATAAGATCCTGCTCTAAGCGTTCTAATTATTAAATTGAGGCATAGAAAAAGCTACAAAATAGAATATATCTTAAAATTAGATTCTAATTAAAATAAAATTTAAGTAAATATAAAAAATAAAATTTAAGTAAACATCATTAACTGACACGTAGGAGAAAAATAAGAATAACTAGTGATAAAATGCACATTTATATTTTCTGTTAAACATAGAATTTGATTATAAATTGATATGAACATTAAAGTAATTTATAGTAATTTTATATGAAGTTATATAATCTGCAATTATATTATACTGTATAAATGGAGGTAGCTGTATCGCTCAGTTTACGTTAATAATTCTTTTAAAGAAATGAGAAATTAATGAGATAAAATAATATATAAAAACAAGTATTATGCACACAATAATAAGTAATATTAATATTTATTAAATATATTTATACATTTTAATAATAATTAAATATCAATTGAAAGAGTATTCCACTTTAAAATATTACTTTATGTAAGTATAACGGCTGTGCAAACAAGTTCGTCTTAAATCATCATCAATTATTTGATGGACAGAGAAAAGTCGATGCCATTGGCGTCAGGCAACATTCGCAAATAAACAACAAAGGTCAAGATCATTTTGAGTCCTTGTCGAGGTCGACATGTGCGCAATATTATGGCGATGAATGTCCGGTAGTGGCATGAAGGTTACAGATTGCATGGGCGGATACTGAATAACTCTTTGAAATCGACGAGATCTTTGTGGAATGATTACATACTTGAAGATAACGAATTTCGTATACATTATGACATCGATCATGGAAGAAGTCGATTAAATATACCACGCACCGATGGCATTTATATAATGTGATCAATTATCCTAAAAAATCCGGGTTATTTTTGCCAAATTAAAGTCTTAATAATTTTAATTTTGTAAAGCCGAACTAATTAAATTCTTAATAATCTGTACAGTTATAAATTATAATCAATTGCATGTTCCTACAATCTGAATATCAGTGACCCAATTTTTTGCTACATTTGGAATCAATTTTTTATCACAGAAAATTTTGAGGAAGGCCATCACTCGTTATAATATTTTAATATTATGTTTTAATATCTTAATAATCAGATCATGATATTGAAAATACAGAGGAAGTAAAATTGTGAATTTAAATGAACAGTAAAATATTATTTTATTTTATCTTGTTTTTTAACCTTATTTTAAAAATTTGCTTTTTATTTAAGTTGTTTAAAATTACAGAAATATTAATTAGCTTTTTAAAAAAAGATTAGAATGTAAAATTGATTAAAGTTACATTTGCATTTGTAAATTTTGGTATGCTTATATATATTTTGCGTCTTTAACCTTCCGCCAAAACGATCTGATTACAAATGAGCATTTTCTACTTCGCAATCATTTCTATATCAAAAATACGAAACATTTTTTACTTACATAAAATTTGAAAAATGCTGAGACAGAAATTGTTTATGATATTTTAAGAGATTAATGTACTACAATACATTAATGAAAAATCGAATCGAGAACACTTTGTATGTAAAATCATACACTTTGCAATCGCATAATTGGACTGAACGGTTTCCGTGCATATCTTCGTGCATGCCTGCATGATAATAACGTTAAAAAAACAGACATTTCCGACAATTGGTGACGATAGTGGGGAGAATCGCAAAACATGACGTAATGTTATTAGCACTGCTCCGGTGAAAGTTCTTCTGATTGACGCACACGAATCAGTTAATGTAAATTTCTGTAGGTATGCTGATAGGTTTTACTTAGAGTTATCGATTAATTCCTATCCCGGAAAGTGTTCAAACGTCCGTGTGAAGTTACGAATAACAAAATTCCTGGCACGCCGCGGCGATAGAAGATGAAAGTCGTACGTGTCAGTAGTTCCGGTCGATGATTTAACCGGCGAGAAGCGCACGGCCGTTAATTTTTCGCCGCAACGTAACGTGTGCTGCAATTTGCGTTGAACGATTTCTCGACACTCTCGGAAAGGTTTTATCGTCACGTAGACGTGCTGGGCTGGGCATGTATTTGAAATACTTTTATTTAAAACACAATATTTGCAATACAGTTAAGTGTATTTTGTATTTTTTATTTCAGCGGAGCACATATAAAAGTATTACGTATTTTGTATTTAAAATCGAAAGATTGAAAATTTTCCGTATTTCGTAATTCATAAATAATAAGATTAATTGTCAATCTTAATATTTGAAATACAAAATACTTTCAATCTTTCGTTATTAATATTGAAATACAAAATATAAAATATAAAATATTTTTATGTACTCTGCTGAAATACAAAATACAATAATTGTCTTACAAATACTGTTTTAAAATAAAAGTATTTCAAATACATGTCAGCCCTGTAGAGACGCGTATATTTTGTTACACATTATATCACATGCGGGAAAATAACTCGTGTATGACCGGTTGCACGTTGATGTGTTTTAGCGTCGTTGCACTTCGGGGCGCGTAGCGTGATTTCTAGTCGATGTATCCGATTCGACTCGACACATCGAATATCAACGAGATCCTTCGAGAAGGTTCTTCGCAAACGAGCGCATTCGAACGCATCTCGTACACTTCCTCATTGGCGACACTCGTGTGCGTGGGCCGTGTTTGCACAGCTGTCTGAGAATTTCTTTCTCAGGTTATTTGCGAGCATTTCTCCTCTGCGCTTCGCCGATCGGTGATCCTTGCTTATTAACGAAATTTTCTCTTCAACAGGACCACCGTTGAGATTAAAATAACTTTTGTGGCGATATAAAATCACGAATATGATAAGAACAGTTAGGGTTGCTGCAAAACTGGAAATTAGGGAATTGTCAAGGAAATTGAAAAATCAGATCAGAAAAGTTGGATAAAAATCAGAAAATTTTGCAAAACGTTCTGGAAAATGAAAATTCTTGAAAAGAAGTTTAATATACGTCACCTATGCAGTTTAGGAATACTATCAACGTAATAATTAAAAATGCAAACAGTGTTAATACATTAATAATAATTTATATTGCTTATGTTAAATTGATCTTTCAATTAATAGTTTCCAAGTCAGGACGAAATTACAAAAAATTTTAAAATATCGAAAATCAGGAAAAATTATGAAATTTTAAGATGAGGAATTTGTGACAATTCTAAAAGTGCGTTAATGATACATTTTGTTTATCGCGGGATTTCTTCGCGTTTGCGTGAAATGCGTGCAGAATTTTCGCGTAAGACGACTTCGCAATCTCGGCTGTCTTAATGGCGATAATAAAGCAATCAGGACACGCTAGGTTGCGATGTCTATTGCATCCCTGTCAGAGATAACCAGTTGTGATTTACATTCGACAAAGGTCTCCTCTGACTTCACGCGCCGTGAATAAAGGTATAGAATGGATCCTACCATGGGTACAACCGTGACCTCGATGTACGTCGTCACCTCCACTCAGACACGAGTCGACGCGCATAATTGATTTTTCGATCGTGAAAAGAAAGGCGTAGCGTGCATAATGCGCTAAACCGCGAATCCGCAAAATCGATTAGGGAAGATTCTTCGGCGGTGAAACTCGTCCATGAAATATTGATTTATGAAGTGTCTAGCTTCGCTTTACGCGCGCGTCTCGTTCTCTTCTCGCGACGAGACCGGTATGTCAGTTTCCGGTACGGCGTAACAGGTTGACCTCTCGATTTATCGTTTGCACACACGTTTACCGTGCGACTCTTCGAGCACTCGCTTCGAACCAGCATAATCGACTTGGTAATAAATTGTTACGCGTTCTCCGCGTTGTCCAAGAGTACACGTAGTTTCCAGGTAACCCTTCACGTCGATATCCTCCTACCGATTTTATTTCTCGAACGTAATATATACGACGACTATAAAACAGCTTCCCCATACAAACTTGCATCGCGAGGAGAAATTCAGATCTTGAACTTTGCAGAATGATCGAAGAACACTGTAATTATGTCGAACGTTATGCAGTTAATTCATTGCTAATTTTAAAATCACTCAAAAATACTGTGTAATTCTTTTTTAGTTCTTTCATTAATAATTGTATATTTTTAATAAAAATTTACAAAAGTCACAACTGTTACATTTGCATGTACACATTTATATGAATATTTTTAATTATAAATGTAACAATATTTAACAAAAATTGTTTTTTGTTTTAGAAGGTTAACATAAAAATATCTTCACCGATGCAAAATATAAAGAACAATAATTATTTTCAAGTCGCATAATTTAAATTTATTTTTTTCTTTTAACTGCATTTTCATAAATAGTCGTAATCATGCTCTTTAATCACAAAAGTGTAGTAAAACAAGACTGCTTTTCCTTGTAAAAGTTATAAAAAACTTATTATTGTAAAAACATTCTATCAAAATGAAATTAAACCATTTAGCACTAATAAAGAAAAATTAAATCTTTATTAATTTAAGAATGGAGGCTTTTAATCTTCCTTGCTGTTTTGTTTTCCGTTTTTGAGTTAAATTTGGAAAAGTTTAATAGAGAAAGTGTAAACGTTCGAAACCACTCAGGGATCACTTTTAAATTACAGTATTGAGCGATGGCGGACATTCTGACGATGGCAATAGCACAACCAGTAGCTGGGACAAAATCAAGTTGTGCGGTGCGGATTTCTGCGTCCTTGGCAACGGAGGTCACGAGAACCTGGAGCGACCACCGGAGTCGGAGATCTATGAAATCTCCGCGATCTACCTCACGTGCGTCATCGTCGCAGTGATCATCGTCGCTCTGTTCGTCGATCCCCTCTCTAGGTGAGTACCGAATATATGGATACGAAAGCCATCGGTCGCGATGTTAATCACTCGTTTTTATTGCTTGCAATAAATATCAAGTCGACATCGTAATATCTCGTAACAGAATAATACGTCGCACAGGCAAGGCCAGTCGTTAAGAAACGTTAGAGAGTAGTCGAGCTTAATAAATCAGACTTCTCTACATTTTTATATGATAATTAGAGATAACGCGCCAAATGTTAATCGATCGAATTACATATTTATGTACACAGTAGCCATATCAACTTGTGTTTATCGATAATACAAATCTTCATGCTGCTATTGGAGCACTCATGTTTAATATATTGCATCATGATACCGATTAGTTACTTATTATCAATTCTCTTTGAAGAAGGAATAAAAGGCGAAAAAATTAAGATATATTTTCCTTTTAGGTCATTGTTATAAATTAAAAATCATACATGTATTTGTTATATTATAATGTATATTTAAAAACCGAAAAAATGAAACCGAAAATATATTCTTCGAATCCTGAATGAATAATTCTTGGGTGAATATTTAAAGAAAGTTTTAACTTGAATTATTCAACGTTAAAGATTTAATTCTGCTCATAAAATTTTATTTTCCAATTAATATTTAGCGAGAATTTTAATACATATTTAATACGTATTTAATTCGAGACTTATTTAATTATTAAAATATCTTATTGTCACATTGAAAATGTGAGTTACGAAAAATGATAACCTTTATTCAAATTTTTGTTAAAACAAGATTAAACGAAACCAAATTAAATGTATATTTTCGCTCTACCTATTTTATTTTTTCAATGGCTTTTATAATATGCGTCACTTTTTTAAATAGATATAAAAGTATTAGATCATTCTATTAAATAATACGATTGCAAAACTGAGTTTTGCAATCGTATTATTTTCAGTTTGCAAAACTCAGTTTTGCAATCGTATTATAAACATTACTTTCAGTTTGCAAAACAGTTAGCGGATTAGCGAATGTTACTACGTATTCCCAGATAGATGAAACAAATACTTCGTTCTGTCTGTATCTATTCTGATCTATGTGAGTAGGATGCGAAATCCGTTCGCCACAAAGAGGTTTATAATTGCGCGTTAAATCAACAATGAAGCTTAGTTGCAGAGGTTGAGCACGCCGTAATTATGCGCCGCATGAAAGGTGACATGCGCGGCACGGTTAACAAAAGAAGCTGCCTCTGCCATTCGTGCTGTCTTATCAGTGAGCACGATCACTGACAATGATATATTTTATCCGCGATTTTGCACTGAATTACGTAGCTCAGACTATCATCGCCCGTACGAGTGTTTTACGAATATACTTAGTATATAGTCATACAGATGTCATGCAATCGCGTTGGATTTTCGTCGCCCGGCTATTCCAAGTGTAAACGACCGAACGAGAGAGTAAAATATTTTTTCCTCTCAATTTGATAAGAACATAGCATTGTTTTTGCGCGATGTCATTGACCGTCTGTGGCCGGGAAAAGACATATCGTTTCGTCATAAAATTAGCATATGATAATCGAAGCCGCGAAAAGTCCTCGTTTAGAAAAAGTTCTGTTTCTTAGAATCACTGTATAGAATGTAATTTGAACTTTTTCAGTCATTTTTAATTTTGCCACGCGATATATACAGTTTCCTAGGAAAAGGAAATTAATTCATCTGATTCGCGATAGAAGAAGTTAACTCACGTTTTCTCTGGCTGTCTCTTTCTACAATAATCAACTCAATTATGGTTATACTCATCGCGATTTATCATGTTACCAACGTTACGCGGGTTATTAGATAGATTGGAAAATTTAAAAATCATACTTTTTAAAAGCGGCCGCCTCTTTGCTATTATTTTTTTCAAAGACGGTGAGCAACTAAGTTATGGCCGTTTTCACAGTGTATCGTCAGTAATTACTAGTTTAGCGACTACATATCGTCAATGACTTATCATCGGAGTATAAAATTGAGGAGCAGAAGAGCAGTCGAGCTCTTGCGGTATTACGAAACGCAGTTTGATAGACGTGATCCGCGAAACATCAGCCCGAATTTCCTCTCCCCTATCTCCTCCGTATCGGATAGCTGTAACCAATGCTCTGCTTATGATTGCGAAATAGCGTACATCCGACAGGATGCGCCGACAGTTGCATAACGCTACACGTAGCGTGAACCGTACTTATTAAAAGTGGATAAGTTTCTGGAGGCTCTTCGCGTTGCGTCAACGCCATCCTTCAGCATGTTACACAGCAACACGACTGGTCTATACTGGAAAAAATTTTTATATTGTATTTTTACATCGATTACCAAGCATAATTAACTTGAGACTTTACGACTTATCAGAATCATATTAAAAAAATATCCAGGGGCATCGGTCGACGGAAAAAAATTGATAAATCGATTGCAACAGAATGCCAACCTTGATGTTAGAATTAATAATCCTAGAGATATATTTATCACTCACCGTAATAAAACGGAAATATAAATTTATAATTAGCATTGAATGAAAGGATTGACTCATGAACATGGAGAACATAATAATTTTCTTTGGATGAATTGATGGAATAATTATTGCATTCATAATTAATTACAGAAAATATAATTAAAAATATTTAAAAATTGCAAAATGGCTAGATACACCTAAAAAAGAAATAATCTGATAATGTGTGGGATGTCAAAATAATGAAATATATCGATATGATATAGCCGCGTCATCTCGTAAAACACTTTAAATATATGTATGTGTCACAATATTATTTATGGAGTCGTCACTGTCATTTCATTTCTGTTACCGATAGAATCGTTCTCGTACTCATCCTGTCGTGAGGAGGTGCTCAAGGACATGTGTCCGTCCGGATGTAAGCAACTCTTAATGATATGTTGCCCGCCAAATTATTATCGGGCCGAAGATTAGATTACAACTCGACGTTACAAAGTCTTGGAAAATACATGCCTCTGTCAGTTACGCACAACGCTCTGACACACACTAACTACTCCGTTCGCAATTAATACAGTCGATCTTCCATCACTGATTGTGAGAAATCGATAGAGACATCATTAATATAGGCGTGACGTTAAAAACAATTCTATCGAATACGGCAATAGAGAAGAAAAATGCGTTAGCCTGTCCCCATAGAAGCTATAGATCTTATTTTCTAAGCACACTCGGCCGATCTATTTAATGAATTGTTTTTATGAACAGCTGCGTTGAAATATGTGTTTACTGTGTTGAAATATATGTTACTTTTCTCATCGCGCGACATCAAGGTTTCAGTCAATGCGACGAAACCCTGCAAATCAGTCGACTAGAACTCCTCGCGCAGAAGGAACAAACGCGTTGGAGCATTACGTTCGTAATTATTTTGAATTGATAGATGCTATCATGCCAGATTTATTCGCGGTTGTAATTATGGTGTTACGATTCCATGACTTCCGCGATAACATATTTCTGTATATACCGTTTTGATTTTTTTTTTATGCGGACTTTTATGTTTTAATTTATTTCCTTCCTCAATTTTAATGAATATAATTTGTTTATATGATCTCTTAATGTTTTAAGATATATATATATAGGTTTTATTAATGTTATATATTTAATAAAAAAATTAATTATGCGCGCGCGAAATATTTTTATACATACAAAATGTAAAAAATGATATAAATATACATAAATGAGCTACACAGCAATATTACACATTCGTGATGACGCATGACGCCAATATTAGTATTGTAATTTAAATGCAAGTGATAATTATACAAATATCTTTATTTACCATAATTTTTACCTGAAATTTCTCATAAATATTAAAATTAATAATTTATAATTAAGATTAGCAAATTTTTATCTATCTCGTAACAATCCGATACTTTTTTTTATAAATACGAGTAGTTACTAAGATTTTCATTATTCGTACAATTTCATTATTTTCTGCATTTTAATAGGCTGAAAAGTATCTTCGAGATTCTCTATCACAGTTCTCTTTCGTTATGCTCGCTTTTATCATTCTGATGATGAATCTGTCCGAAACTCTGTAACTATACATCCTTAACTGCTAGGAAAATTTACGGCCGCAGAGCCGTAATTCATAAATTGTTTCTTCGCAAGGTCACGCCTTCTCTGATTTACGTGTGTTGGCGCAGGTTTTTGATAACGTGAAACTCGCGATGTCAACACTACAAAAAGACGACGATAAAGCAACGCCTGTAGTTACAATATCTTCGTCACGTATACGGTGATTTAGAAGTGTGATACTTTCGACAATGAATACTTAAAAAATCTTTTGCATTGTTTTCCATAGAAAAAATTCTATACAAAATCATCATTTATTGCAATCTTCTAATTGCTTGTATTTCATGTTTCAATTAAGTCAGAAGAATGTTAAAGCGAAGATTATTTCAAGATAAAAAAATAATCTCAGATTTGTTATACGTTATTTTAAATTTTAATTTTGCAAAAATCTAATTTTGAATTGCTTAATTAGCGAATAAATAAAATCAATTTTTAAATTAATTTATACTAATATTTGCAATTGAAAAGAAGGTTTCGCAGTGACACTCTGTATTGCATTTATCGTAGTTTGCGGCGAAACGAATGTATCTGGGACACGCGACGGCACGTATCGATACAACTTCTCATATGCTGCTCGTGTTCTCGCTTAAAATCTGTTGCTAAATAGCACTTCTTTACGTTATCGCTCCAGGAGAAAAATGTATTTCTCTCGTACACAAACACAACTATCGCGTGTTTGAGAAAATTATGAAAATTGAAAAAATAATAAAATAACAAAATAATAATATGTTGCTCAAATTAAGAATCCTATTATAATTGTATACATCTTTTTACAATTAATTATTGAAAGAAAATTCGAATATTTTATAGTTTGTTTTAATCCGTAATTTTGTCGTACTATTAATCTATCCAATGCATGATCTCAATTCTCTCTCGTTAAATGCATCCTCGTATTTTTCCATTAATGATTCTTTTGAGAGACAGGTTGTGCCGAT